AATACTTAACGAACACATAATAAAACACATTATTACGAAAGAATTAAAGAAAAAAATGTTAATTAAGAACAAACATATAAAAATCACCAAGTTTACAGTTTTAAACGAGCGATAGTGTGACTAATTACGAAAAAAAATTAATGTTCAGAATATTTCTAATTAAATAAATTACTTACCAAAATTTCTACACTTCTATTTAAATATGTGAAGGTTTATCTGATTAAAATATCATTGTTTTACAACGAGAATTCTGTATACTTGTAAAAAACAGTTCGAAATTTATAAATATCTCTTTTCTAAACTTTTTTTTATCACTAGTTTACGAAAACAAACAAAAAAAAAGAAAAGTTAAATTTCATACGTATGATGAATGACTATTTTGGCTTGTACATGTGGCACACGATCAATGTCACACGTATCATTAGTATATTCTTAGTGTACTAAGAGTATATCAGTAGACATGTGAGACTACGTACTTTTGAGGCTGCACATAAGTTAACATCACAAATCCTTCTCCACCATGAGTCATAGTCCAGGTAATATAAATATCGACATTTTTAACGTGCAGAAATTATAATAACGACTCATGTTATAGACTTAATTGTGTCTCTGAAAAAAATGGAACAATATCGTCGAGAGAAAGATAAAAGCATCAAATGCTGTACTGAGATGGAGCAGGTCGATATGAAATCCTGACTCAAAATCATTGGTATTGCAGCTCGCATTGCTTTTTTCAATTACAGGTATTACACTCAGGTATTTCCCGTTAAGTTATTAGTAGTTTGATTATTTAATCTTGGATTGGTTAGTTTTTATCAAAAAATATCTAAAAAAAATATTAGTTTACAACAGAGAACATTTTGAATCATATTAATTCTTTTCATCGAAGTTTTTCAACAAGTCATCAGCTTGAAAATGATATGAAAATACCACATGCTTGCTAACACAGAAATTACAACAATTTTGGAACATTTTAGAAACTTCACAGAATTATTCAAAAATCATCATCTTGTACCTTTGTAATTTGTTATTCGAGCAAAATTTGTATTTATTTTTAACAGTAGCGTGTGAGAAAACTAATGAACGTTTTGATTTTGACTTACTATGAAGTACTTTGTCATTTTTGAGATATGAAAATTCAGTGTTTGTATTATGTAAATTCGCGTATACTATTGAGTCTAGAAAAAGTGTATGATATCTTTTAAGAGTTCATATATCAATACGATTCATCCGCATTGAAAAGAATTATCATTGACTCAATGTTTATACGGCATGACTATGCACATTGAAAATTAATGTATAAAAGCCAACTAGTATATTTTGACAACGAATGATGTTGTTGATTAATAGTTTATTGAGAATTATGTAACTTGAAAGATTCATTTTATGAGGTTGAATTCTCGACTAGTTTTCCGATGACTCCATGATAACCATCTGTTAATAGAGTAATATTGTTAATAAAATCATTTTAAAAGCTAAATTAGACTTTTCCTATGTTAGTAGTTTTTTCTCTATCCATGACGCATCTACTTCCGACAAACTCTATTTGGTATTTTTATATCAAATAGAAAAACGTGTCTTTGTTGTTTATTACATTGAATTATTATTTGCAGTCGCCAAAAACTCAAATATTTGACTTAGCATTCAGTATCACACCGTGGAAATCATTCAAACATAGAATTAAAGGAAAAAAACGACTCTTGTCTAACTTCTTTTTTGTAATTGTAAAACACTTCTTGAATTATTATATTGCATAACATCTCTTTCGACTTCCATAATGAATCAATTTCGATTTATGTTTGTGTAAGTAATTAGAGTACATAAGTTGTCTCTAGGAAATGTTCTGCTATCTAAATAGATAATAAAAAAAAATGGTTTCCTATTTCCAAAACGTAACTTCATCTACTCTTTAAAAAAAGTTTTTTTTTCTTATTCGCCTGAATATTTTTCTCGTTATTCATGCCGTTCGTTTTCTATACCCACGATTTTATTATTATATTATTAAGAGCTTCGATAGTAACAAAATACTGAGATTATAAACTAGAAAGTCAACAGAAAAATGAAATCATTTTGAAAATTTTCTATTCAACATCAGAAAAAATAAAACTGATGTGAAACGTGGGTTTCGACCTGTTAATACTATCCAATAAAAAAGTTTATTGTAAAATTCTTTAATATATCAAAATCTAGTCGTTAAGTCTGGAACGAAATCTTGATAAATGATTAATAAATAATTTAGCATTAGCCCGTTTCCAAAAAATATCCAATTCTTTCCTCACTTTCTTGTTCTCAGACGTTCAAATATTTTACAAGAATTGTATTCATAAAGATTTAAGAAACAAGATTGTGAAAATTCACACGTATTGAAAGAAAAGAAAACAAAGGATTGAGCGAGAAAAGCGTTAAAAGTTCAACTTTAGAGAAATGTCTAGTTCATAAATAGATTAAGTTTTTTATGATCGAAATGCTATTGACACTCGTTGCCACTAATGTTGGGACACTATCCAAGGCACATATTGTTTTATAAACCATCTGGACATATCATTTCAGTGTTTTAGAGAATCAATATTTCCGAACAAAATCCCTTTTTGTTTAGCATAGATATTATGAATAGTTTTTTAGAGTTCATTTCTATTAGATTGTCAAGCCTATCAAGTCAGGAGTTATTTTCCTTTTCTTTCTTGTTAGTCGCGATGTTCAATAGGAAAAGCAATATTATTTTATTATTTGATATGGTACGATAAAGATCGTATCAGTGTGACAGTCGGTTTAAGATATCGAACATTCAATGTAAAATATATCTGCGAATTGCTACCAGCAAAAAGTTCTTTCGTCATTGTATATCTTCTAGATTGTCGTCAAAAGTACTGGTTACTGCGTACATGACTAGAAGTAAAGCTAATTCAATCATCAAAAGGTAAGATTTCAATGTGTGCATTACTTTTTATTGAAATCTTCCAATGTCTTCAAAATCTTTCGACATTTGATTGTAACGACGTGAAGGAAAACAATCGTTTGTGATTTGAAAGACTAAGATTTAAGTAAGACTAGAATGAATTTGGCATGAAACAAAGAAGAAAAGTATTTTCCTTAGTCATTTGTCTTCAACTGAAATTTTTCAGAATGAAGTCTCTACTAACTATCTAAGTAGACAAGGATTGTCAAAAAACACTCAATAATATGTCGATTTTGAGCTGTGAAACGTATCTAGAAGCTCAAAAAGTCGAAATTTTTCAATGTTTGCACGCTTTTTTAACGGTCCTTGTTTGCTTGAGTATTAGGAGCCTATTATAAGAAATGATTATATGAATACTAAACATTTACAAATTTCAATAGTGAAATATTATAAAAGTCAAAATCAAAGTGATTTAATAAATCAGATTTTTCGTTGAAATATATTTCTTATTATTCCTAATATCCGGTGTTGAGTCACTTTTACATACTGAAAAATTTTATTTGAATATTTCACCGAATTAAGTAACGATGAAAAGCTCAATTATTCACTATTAATATCATAGACAACTCAATATTTCCTGTACTCAAACTACTACTTGAGCTAAATTTAAAAAAATCAATTAGTTACCTTATTTTCAATAAATCCAATTTTTACCTATTACTTTTGTGGTGTGTTTTATGTTATCATCAGCGAGAATTACAGAGAAATATTCTCTTCTATATGTTTCTGTTGTTGTCTGAATATCTGGATTTCACATTTTTAGTTATTAAATTTAACTTTTAAATTTCAACATATAGAACGTCATTGGTACTTTTCGCACTCAATTTTTAAAAAGCATCACATCTTACCTGCATTCGATTTGCGATCATACACATCTCATTTGAATTCTGTCATGCTAATCATGATTATAACATTCAAAACAACAGAAATATAAAAATAAATGTTAAATAGTTGTGCAAAGATATAGGTAAGTGTATGTATTGATTGACATAAATGACATATCTGGCATGCAATAAAATAATGACTTCCGATTACAAATATTAACTAAATATGAAACAAATAATTGTCAAAAAAAGCTCTGACATGATGAATATAATCAGGACTTTCTGCTTATCAGTATTGCCTATATTATATTCATGATTATGAGCAATTGTGAATCACATATTCCTATATGTTTCATATTCGCCATTTTTGATACTTTTATTCACTCAAGGACTTCCTTGTTTTGATTAATTGATATCTATATATAAGTATTTCATTTGTAGAGTAGGCTCGTTCCAGTCTTCCTTCACCACTGTTACAATGTAATGGATGATATGTCCTACGCATGTATATGCATAAAAAATTCAATATCCTTCGCTGCTAAAAGGATCAATGGGGCGTGATACGAATAGAAAGAGTATGTGGTCGATAAGGCAAACGGAAAGAAAAAACAAAAAACGGGGAGTAAGTGAGAAATGAATACATATTTGTCTTTCATTGTGATAGACAAAAAGAAAGGTAAACGGTTTTTTTGATTTAATCCAGTGTTGTTTATCTCATCAGATAAAGACGCTGACATAATTTTGATGAAAACTTGTTGTATTTTAAGTGTTTACTGTGTATGATGTGATACTTAAAAAAAGGTAGGCAGTGCATTACTTAATCAAGCGTGAAGATACTTGTGACTATATGTATTGTTTTAATAAGTTGTTATGACATCAATGGATCATTAATTCATATAAAAATATTTTTTTACAACTTCTATTTTTAGATAAATTTGTACGGCTAATAAAGATTTCTTATTATTATTCATATTTAATTCAATTATTTTTTTAGCAAAATTGTATCGTAGTTAATGTACTTGAAAACACTTTTACATCATTTGCTAACCTTTGTACGTTCGACACATGCTCGTTCGTTTTCATGGACACTTATTTTTGTTCTCTTTTTGTTCATATTTCGGTATAATATTTTAACAATATTCTATATTGTTCAAACATATCTAACCGGATATCGATTTTCATCTGGTGTACTAAATTTTAAAGATAATTTTGATACAACAATGTCTAGTTACCCATTAAATCAAACATCAGCTATGCCAAATTATACTAATTTAGTGCCAGCTATATTACATCATATTTTTATTGGTAATATTGATTTAAATAAATATCCAAAATGGATAGCTGCACGAGAAGCTTGTTTGAAATTTCATCCAAATTATGAATATAAATTTTGGAATGATACATTAGCTGAAAGACTTATTCAAGAAAAATATCCATGGTTTTTGGAAACATGGAAAAATTATTGGTATCCAATACAACGTGCTGATAGTTTACGTTATCTTGTTCTTTATCATTATGGAGGAATTTTTCTTGACATGGATCTTCATTGTCGTCGTTCATTAGGACCTCTTCGTCGTTTTGACTTTATTTCACCAGCTGCTTATCCGGTTGGTATATCAAATGGTTTTCTTATGGCTTCGGCTCGTCATCCATTTATGAAAGTTCTTGTTGAACAATTACCATTATTTAATCGTAATTTTATTTTACCTTATGCTACAGTTATGTTTTCAACTGGATGTATGTACATATCAGCACAGTATTCACTGTATAATGATCACTGTCATTTAAAACTCTTAGATTATAAGCAGCATCGTTTAAGTGGTCAAATATCAACACCATTATTTCATCATTATGGTAGTAGTAGTTGGCATTCTAATGATGCATCATTTATTAAAAGAGCAGATGATATTATAAAAAAACTATTTCATCATAAAGAACTAGTTTTATTTATTTTCTTTATTATTATTATTACATTAATCTTATTTTATCGAAGAAGAACTGTGCAAAAAAACCAAAAAGAAGAAATTCTATTATTTTAAAAGCACTATTGTATATGATATTAAGAAAATTTAGTCCGTCCAATCCTTAATAATTTTATTTTCCTGTTATCATTTTCAATTTTTCGTAAAAAGATCGACTAATAAAAAATAAACACTTCTCTTTTTTGTAGATTAAATAATGAATATATTAGGAAAAAAATTGTATAATCAACAAAAATATTCTAATCATCAATTAAATGAAATCGACGAAGCATTACTTCTTGACACTTCTATATATAAACGTATATATCGTTTATCAAACGGTCGATCCTTTATTCGACTATGTCATTTTATATATACACATAAGTTGCTATTTATTATAATAATTTTTGTTTGTATACCAATTATACTTTATATGTTTTTACTTATTCTATCGAAAAATCAAGCATTTATTCCAACACAATTCGAACAAAATCGTTATCGTCTTCTTTTAGTTGTTGCTCATCCCGATGATGAATGTTTATTTTTTTCACCAACATTACATGTTTTACGAAAACAATATCATGTTAATTTAAGTTTATTAGTTTTTTCACGTGGAAATCATGTCGGTTTAGGTCATATACGTGCTATGGAATTATATGGTTCATGTCAAGCATTAAATATTCCAAAAGAACGTTGTATATCATTAGATTTATCTAATATACAAGATAATCCAAAAGTTTGGTGGTCTGAACAACAATTAATTCCTATGATAAATGAATATATTGATAAATGGTCTACTGATATCCTTGTTTCTTTTGATCGCAAAGGAATATCAGGTCATATTAATCATCAAGCAGTAGCTTCTGCAGTTCGTCTATTAACACAAACTAATAATAATACAATGATTAAAATGTCTTATGAATTAAAATCTGTATCTGTTCTTCGTAAATATTCATCATTATTTGATTTCTATTTAATATTTATTTCATTTATTCCACGTCTTTTACGTTCATTATTGTCATATTTAATTCCATGTACTTTAATATCATCACCAGATTTATCTCGTATGCTTCTTATTAATACACCTAACGATTATATGGTGTCTCGAAATGCTTTTGCAAGCCATAAAAGTCAATATAGTTGGGATAGATATATATATTTAATTGCAAGTCGTTATATGTTTATAAATGAATTGATTTATATCGAGAAAAGTTTGTCATAAGAAATAATAATTGTTTATTTTTCTTTAGAATAAAAAAAAACAAAACTTCATAATCTAACGAAAATTTTCTAGTTTTTTGTGAAATTTTCCTTCTCGAGAAGGAAAAACAAACAAGTGCATGAATACATTTAATAATTCATCAATCACAATGACCGACGGGATAATGTAAAAGTACACCATCTCGTAATAATGTTTCTTGTATGCGACTAATATTAACTGCTTGTACATCAATATTACCATTTAATATTGAATAAGCAGCTGCATATCCAGCAGCACCACCTAATAACATAAAATGTGGTTCAACTCTAGTAGCTGCATAAGCAACATGAGATGCTGCATGACAAATAGGTACAAGTAAATTTGTAACCTCATTTCTTTTTGGTAATAATATCGAATAAGGTATTTCAAAAGCTTTTCCACTTTTAGAACCGTTTACATAAGCAATTGATTTATACATTGCTCCTTCATTATTAACATAAGATCCGTTCGCTGTTCGTGTTACAACATGTATATCATGACTCCAACTACCTAATGCTATTGTATCATTACGACATAGACCACTTACAATATGGTTTTGTGTAAAAACATTTTCATTTATTAAACGAAGTCCTTCACGAACATACAATTGTGGTGGTATATGTTTATTTTCTGGCCATTGATCATTACATAAAGCATATTTTTTTAATGAATTTCGGGTGAATTCTGGAACAAATGAAGAAGTAAGAATATACCAAATCATACCAAGTACATAGTCCGAGACAATCTGTGCAATATGACGACGATCTTGAATTGTACCATTAACATAATTTCGATTTAAATTAATTGAATCACTTGTAAATGCACTTCCAAAACTATCACACATATCAAATTTATCACCAGATGGATAACCTCGATAAATCAATACATCAACAAGTTTATCAAAAGGAGGTCCCGTTGGATATTTTCCTGAAGCTATTAATGAGTCTATATATCGTTGTAAAATAACAAAATTATTCGGATCATAATTTGCTGGTTTAACAAATGGTGCTTGTTTTTTTTTGTTTGGTGTTACACATAAACGATATGAATATCCCATCATGTTGAAATCAGCAGAGCCTACTGGACCTAATTTATCAGGTGAAATATATGGAGCTAATGTTCCGTTGTCTAATGTAGCATTAACAGGATAATTAGGTATGAAATTAGCAAATGTTGTATAAGGTTGTACGCCAGCATATAATTCATTATATTGATCACGTGATTCTCTGCCCCATGTATAAGAAGCACCTGAATATTGAACAAGATCACCTTCATAACTAGCATCAATCCATACGGATGCTTTCCATGTACGTCGACCATCAACTGTAGTTATTTGAATAATACGTGTACCATTTATTTGTATGCTTTTATCAATCAATGGTCCTGTTCCAATGATTAATTGAATATTTGGATACATAGAAAGTAAATCAAGAAAACTTTGACGGCTTACATTCATATCAGGTTGATAAATAGGATTCGTTACATTTTTATAATACTTATAATTATTATGCACCCATTCTTGTGCAACAGAACCCATAACTACACTTTGAGAAACCAAAATAAATTAAAACATAAAAGAAAAAGATCTCGATGATTAACTTACTAGTAAGTTCTAAGCCAAGATCTCGTAAGCCAATGCCGCCCGCTGTTGACATCCCGCCAACATAAGCTGTTGGTTCAATAATTACAATTGAAAACGAAGGTGATATTCGAGCTGCCGTTATAGCTGCAGCAATACCACCAGGTGTTGCTCCATAAACCGCAACATCATACGCAGTACTGATGGAACAGATGACAAATATTAATATTGTAAAAGAATATAAATGTAATGAAGACATTATTACTATCAAGGTGTGATACGAATAAAAGAAACAACAAACACTTGTGTGAAGACTTTTTTATCTTTCATATCTCTTCTACTAACAGTTAGTCGAGTCTATCAATAATAGCAATACATGCATGAGACATTGAAGAGTTGTGTGATCAGATTAAACTGAAACATTTCTTTTTGACATCGAAATCTGAATACAATAAGTTTTAAGTACATTGATTTGTTGCTAATATTGAACCACATTTCTTCAATTAGGGATGCAACGGTGACGATAACCGTAGGTACGGTTACCGGTTGAAACCATTGTCAAGAAAAACAGCATTTTTTTAAGAAAATAACGATATCTCATAAAGGTTGACGAATGTAAATCGAGGTCGGAGAATCCGAATCTGAACTCAGTTTTTGAAAATTTTGAATTATAGTTCTTCACGTATGATGTCTTTCAGGAATAATGTTTTCCAGAAACAAAGACAACTTTCAAGAAGCGGTTTAGTCTTGGGAGAAGAAAATTGAAAAGTTCAAGGATCTGATTTCAGATTTGGATTCTTCGACCTGATTTGCTTTCTTCAGCCTTTATAAATAATCATTATTTTTCTAAAACAAAACCTTTCCTTTGTCGAAAAATTCAATTCAAAAGTTTCAAAAACTGACTTCAGAGAGATACCCCTAGGATCCACGAATTCGCAATTCAAGGAGATTCGAGAAAATCAACCAACGCAACAGACGTATATAAGAGATTAGGTTACAAGCGTTCACTATGATAGAATTCTAGCAAATTCGAGAAAATCAAGCAATTCAAGAGACTGAAAGCAATTCAAGAGCTTCAAGGAATTCAACAAACATACAGAAGAGGAAGGGTCATGAGCCTAAACTCGGATGGAAATATGGAAATTCAAGGAAATTCTAGAAAATCAAGCAATTGAAGAGAATGACAGAAATTCTGGGAATTCTAGGAATTGAGCAAAGATAGAGAAGAAAGCGAGTGATAAGTGGAAAGTATGATGGAATTTTGGAAATTGAAGGAAATCAACACAATCGAGCAATACAAGGCATTAACAGAAATTCTAGAAATTTGAGGCATTAACCAAACATAGAGAAGAAAGCGAGTGATAAGCTGAGAGTATGATGGAATTCTGGAAATGCTAGCAAATCAGGGAATTGAAGACTGTAAGAGACATTCTAGAAATTCGAGGAGGATGTAGGTGTTCGGGTGGTTGGGTGCGGACCTTCTTAGTGACATCCACACGCACAATGACACCTGCACCCACTCCGGCACGCCTACCCATGCGCACTCCCACACCCACACGCGTTCCGACGGCCACAGGCACGCCCACGGCCACTAGTACACCGAAACCCACACACACGCACACCCCACATCCACGCACTCACATCCAAACCGACACCCACACCCTTCTCTCTGCAATCTTACATCACAGGCTGCATTGAATAGCGCATAAGTTCGAAAAATGACCTTAACTTGCTTAAATTTCCTTGTATTTTATGATACTTTCAAGAGATATAATTCGAACTGATATCGATTCCTTGACTTGCATCAATTCCATGGCACTCCCAAGGGTTATAATTCAAACTTATGTGATATGCTGAATTTCTTGACTTTCCCTGAATTCATTGAATTTCTTAAATTCCTTAAATTGCTTGAATTCTTTGATTTCATTGAATTCCATGCTACTTCCAGGGGATATAATTCAAAGATATACGGATATGCTGAATTTCTTGAATTGCTTAAATTTTCTTGAATGGTCAATTTTTGGATCGTAGGTACTGCTGACTTCAGATTCGGATTCCCCGACCTCGATTCACTTTCGTCAACCTTTATGATATAACGTTATTTTCTTAAAAAATGCTGTTTTTCTTGTCAATGATTTGAACCGGTAACCGTACCTACGGTTATCGTAGTTGGATCGGTAACCGTACCTACGGTTATTGTAGTTGGACCGGTGACCTAGGGAACTGCAAAATCACTTTTTTTAGTCCCGGTCCCGGTCCCGGTCTTTGACATTAGCTTCATTCCTAAAATCGAACCATTTTTTTACGATCTATGTACTTTTATAAATACATAAAATTGACATGAATGATTTTGATTCGTTAACAGTACGAGAATTCCTTTATATCCAGTGTTAAAGTGAAAGAATTTCATTGAAAACTCGAATAAATAAAAATAACCATTGGATTTTGTTAAAAATTCTCATGTACTTCGTAGTAGTCATTTACTCATTTCTCTCTTCTTTTATATCTACTGTTCTATCTAATGGATTTATTATCGAATTGATTATTTATACTGAATCGCCATTACTATTGTCAAAAAAATAAGATAAATGGCGACACAGTGCATAAAAGACTGACCGGGACCAGTATGAAAAATTTTTAGTCCCGGTCCCGGTCTCGGTCCCNCCAGGTGTGATGTAGATATGATGTGATTGTTGTTTTGTGGAGGTGGAGCTATTACTTGAAACATCATAACGTTGATAAGTTTGTCCATATTCTTGCGACAGATTATCACATTGTTGCATTATTTCATTCATAATACGATAAAGATTTGATATATCATGATGTTCATATTCATTAAAATTTGTATCATCAGCATCTTCATCTGTACTACTAGCATCTAAATTTTCTAGCCGATTCGGAGCTGAAGCATAAAGTTTTTGTAAAAGTACATCATCTGAATAAGTTAAATTTTCTGTTGCATCAAATTCAGTTAGATCATCGTCTTTTGTTACATTTTGATTGATGTTAACATTTGGTTCAGATAACTTTTGTTGCTCTTTATTTTCATCAGATGTTGTTTTGACTAATTTATATATAGGTATGTCAGCTGCTACAGGAAAATCTGGCAAACGTTCTTGTGATGAATCACCCATTTCATGTATTGCATATGAAACATATCGGTCTGAACCTGTTATTTGTGATGATGTTGTTGTTGTTGAACTTGAAGATTTTTCTGGTACTTGTGAAGTTTGTCCATCAACTTTTTCTATAAAAGAAGTTGATATAGATGGTTGATTAATTGTACCAGTTTGTATTTGAACAAATTGTGAAGAAGGAAGAATAATGCTATGTCCTTGTAATGTATGAATTAATTCAAGTGAATCATCTTCAATATTTGTTGGTGATGATTCACGAAATTCAGTTGATAATTTTAATGGAACATTTTCAATTTCAGTAACTGCTAATATCTGTAAGACAAAAAAGAACAGAGAAACTAAGGATTATTGAAAAAGGTTTTCGTTTTTGTTTTACCGAATCTGATCCAATGTCGTGGCTTAAACGTTGTATGATATCATCAGTCTAATTGAAGAGAAAAAAAAACAACAGATTTTATTAAATAAAAACTGAAAATTGGTTTTTTGTTGTTGTTTTTTTTTTACTTGAGGTGTAATGATAGTTTGTTGAGTTGTATTTTCCATCATTGGTAATAATTGTATATGATTTGGAAGTGTTATTGTTGTTTTTTGATCTATGATTTCAACAGTTATACTATCCGATGATTGAACAACTTCTTCGAGTAATTGTTTCATTTGTTCAAATGATTGATTAATTTTTTCTTCATCAGAAGGCTTTTCACCTAAAAGATTCGGCCAAGCTATATCAGATATTAACATTTTACTATCAAAACTATCTTCTTCACTTGTTATTCTTTCTTGATTTAATGTTGATTGACTATTTTCAGATTGATCGTCAACATTTATAACTGTTATTGTACTAGTAAGACTACTGTCAGAAGAAAGCATTTCTCTATCTATTTGTTCATTATCAAATGAAGTTTGATTTAATCGAAATATAACAGAATTAATTATATCATTGATTAAGTTATGAACAATATCAATAAGAAGATAATTTGTTTCAAAAGTTGTTTCATCAATAGCTGATGCATCAATTTTAAGTGAAGCAAAATCTTGAGTATCATCATATTCGGATTCTATATTTTGTATTGGTTTTTCATTACCGGAAATCTTTAATTAAAACAAGTGAGAAAGATTTAGAATATGATTTAATTGATTCTTACTTGAGATGATACTGCTATTGAAGTTGAATCTTGTTGACTTTGAATTTGATCTTGTAAACATGATTCAAATACTTCATTTGGTAATATTTGTTCTTTTTCTTGGTATGAAGAAGTTTGATCAATGGTATTTGATACAGTATATTGAGTTGCTTCATCACTCGTTGTTGGTGGATTTGTAACCGTATCTTGAGTCTTTTCAATAGTTGGTTCCGTTATTGTTGATGTAATATCTTCAGATTTATTTTGATCAATAGGAATTGTTGAAGCCTGAATATCGAAATGAATTGATATGATAAATTTTCAAATTTAACATACCTGCTGTTCGGATGTTGGAACTTCTTCAGTAGTTGAAGAAGTCATCACATGTTGAATCTTCTCAGTAAGTGTTGCTATGGGATGTGTAATAATCTCGCGTATAGTCTCGAGAGTAGTTTTGGTCTCAGTAGACTGGACATTTTCAGTCTCGAGTTTTTGCTCGATGGTAGGAAGATTCTAAATATCGAACATGCGTCTTTCAAAAAGTTGTTTTTTTTTAATTATCAAACTCACCTCTGTTTCGGCAACTTGTTGATCTTTCGAAGTTTCTATTTCTTCGAATGTACTAGTAGAATGTTTTGTATCATCGGATGGCGCTTGTTCAGTTGGTTCGCTAATTGAAGTAGATATAACACTTTGAATTTTTTCAGTAATTGTTGATATTGGATGTGTAATAACATCATAAATTACTTCGAAAGCAGTCTTTGTTTCTGTTGATGCATTTTCGTCAGACAGTTGTTCAGTAGTTGTCTCACTCTAAATTTTTAAAATAGTATTGAGAATATTTTCTCTAAAGTAGAACATACTGGCTTTTCAGGTGTTACTGTTTCAGGTTCAGTTATGGTTTGTTTAACTATAACATCTAATTGTTCAGATGGAGTAGAAGTAGATAGAGGAACTTGTTCATTAATTAATCGAATTTCTTCTGTTGGTTGATCGATAGATGTAACTTTCTAAATTTTAAAAATTAATTTCAGAAAACTACTTATTTTTCAAGAAATAACTTACAGGCGTTTCAGAATGTGTTGCTTCTTGTTTATTGTCAATATGAGTTTGTTCAGATGGAATAACAGTAGGTGTTAATATTTGTTCATCGTGTTGAATAACGGAAGTCGATGTGAAACTCTCGATTGTATGGTCTTCTTTTGCTGGTAGTTCTTCTGTCTTTTGATCAACTGATGATATAGGCTAAAATTTGAGACAAAATTTTTTCGATTATATATTTTAAAGAAGACTCACTGATATATCGGTAGATGAAGATTCAGTTACAATTGTTTCTTGTTTATCAGAAATATTTTCTTGTTCTACTGCTACAGGACTAGATGTTGATATTTGTTCATCATATTGAGTAGCTGGAGTAAATAAAACACTTTCAGTTGTTATTTCCTCTGTCTTTTGAATAGGAGAAGTAGATTCCTAAATTTTCAAGTTAAATTTCTTAAATGACAGCTACTGAAATATAATTTTACCGGAAAATCAGGTGGTGAAGATTCTGTGATTATTGTTTCTTGTTTTTCTTTTTGTTCATTTACTTGTTCAGCGACAGTGCTACTGGTATCTAATGCAGTTGAAACTGGACTGCCAGTCACAACAGTATCGTGTGGCTCTGTACGATCGTCGATAGTTTGATCATGTACAGTATCTGCTGAAACACTACCTTCAAAAGATTGACCTTCAGATTTTTCTTGTTGAACAGCTGGTTCTTCTTCTGTATGTGTATCTGTTGATGATACATTTATTGGTACTACATTTTGAGTCGTTTCAGTAAGTGTTGTGATTGTTGTCGAAACATTTTCTTGAGTATTGTCAATAGAGAAAGATGGTGTTGATTCGATTTCTTTGATTGAATCGTCAGTTGTTTTGTCATCTGTTGATTTAACAACATCAGAAGGTGATTCTGTTTCGGCAATAGAAATATTTTCTGTAAGAGCTGTTTTCAGTTGTTCTGTACTAGATGAGGATGAAATTTCTTGTTTGTCTGATTGAAGATTTAACATTGCGGTTTGAATAGTTTCGGTTATTGCTATAATTGGTGCTGTAATTGTTTCTTGAAGACTTTCAAATACTGTTTTCAATTTTTCTGAACTGTCCATTGTAGGTTTATTCTATAAAAATATTCTTTAATATATTATGAATATTTTAATTGTTTTTATTTTACTTCTTCAGTTGGAGTTTGATCACTGCTGATCTCTTCTTTTGATTCTGTAGCAACTGTCGTTATTAAACTTGTATCATCTTGTGAATGATCAGTAATTTTAATTTCATCTTTCAATGGATGTGTTTCTGTTTTTGTTTGTATACTTGATACAACACTTTGAATTGTTTCAATAAGTGGTATCATTGGTGTTGTAATAGTTTCACGAAGAGAGCTAAGAAGTGATTTTGAAGTGTTGTCTTGGTCGATATACGATATATCCTAGTTGATATAATGAAAATTATTTGCATCAATATAAACTATTGAAAACAAAAAAAGACATGACCTACTGGTAAAAACTGTTTATGTTCTCCCAAACAACCATGATATACATCACTGCTGATATATCGATTAGCAATTGTATCTGAAAGTGTATCAATTGGACTTACAATAGTTGGCTGTAATGATATTAGTTTGCTTTCGATAATTGATGTTTCAGATTCTTGTGGTATATTTTCTCCAACTTGTGAAGAAGTTTCTGCTTTATGTAAATCAGTTGCCATTTCTTCTTTTGATTCTGTTTTCGTAGGTTCTACTTCTTCCATATGTTTACTGATGTCATCACTACTAGTAGTATCTGAGGTTGTTGTTGATATTTCATCAACAGTAAGCGTATCTTCTTTTGACGAATCAGTAATCGATACTGATGGTGTATCAATTGGACTTATTGCACGGATTTGTTGTTCATTAACATCCAATGATGATTCCGTCAAATCTGGAGAAGTAATTTCTTGACTTGTGGAATCTGAAAAAGTTGGTGATGTTTCAAGAGAACTAAAAGATAGTGTTTGTAGTTCAGCAGAATCTGATGGCATAATGTGCTGTTCAGTAATACCAATTGGATGAATTTGTTCACTAGTAATTGCCTGTAGACTTGTTTGATCATCTGAATACTTTGATGCACCAACCTGTTGTTCAGTAGAAGTGATCTGTAAACTACTGGAGTCAACTGAAGTAATTGGTTGATCAGCTGTAGTTGATAATATGATCGATGATTCTGTAGAATTTAGTAGATTGATTGCTTGATCAAACGTAATCGGTGATTCGGTAACATCTGAAGACGTTGTTTGTTGGTCGACGATGATGTTTGATTCAGGTATAATCACATATTCGTTTTCAATAGTTGAAGTTGTGCTGTCTTCCGGTTTTCTTGTGATTGAAGCTTCAGAGGTACTGCTTTCTTCTGAGACACTTTCCTGTGATGAGCTTTCAGCATCTTCATTGTCCACAACTGTTTCATCCCATGAAACATGTTTCCCAGACTTTTTTGTTGAATCTAAACTAGCGATAGTTTCGTTTGTTTCTTCTGTTGCAGACACATCATACGCTACATTTGTTAGTAAGGCCGTTGATTGTTCGTCTACTACTTTCTCTTCATCAGATTTCAATTGGCTGACTTGAAGTATTTCACTTTCGGAAATATCTGATGATGGTGCAACCAGCATAGTATTTACTTCTTCAGATGTTACTGGCGCTTCTTGTTCGCTTGAGATAAAGACTTTTGTTTCTTCCTTTTCCGCTTCGGCCACCGATGGAACTTGGTGCGTTTCTGTTAATGTGGTTGCTGTTTCTACTGTCTCTTCGGTAGTTGCAGATGGGAGCTGATGATCTTCTGAAGATGAAACTTTCGGCTCTTCTGGCTTCTCTTCAACTAATCCTGTACTTGGATGTTCATCAACCGTTGTTTGTTCCTTTTTCTCTTCTTCAATCACTGCCTGAGTTTGTTGTTCATCGGTAGGTGAAGTTTTCGTTTCTTCTTGCTTCTCTTCGTCCGTTAACAATGGACCTTGTTGTTCTTCTGTGGATAAAACTTTTTCTTCGTCTTCTTTTTTAGCGACTGGTGAAACTTGCTGTTCGTCTACTGATGAAATCTTTCCTTCTTCTTTGTCTTCTTGAGTTGACAACGGAACTTGATGGTCATCTGCGGATAAAGTTTTCGTTTCTTTTTCCTTCTCTTCTACTGTTATTGATGAAGCTACATGTTCATCTACAGATGTAGTCATGGTTTCTTCTCGTTTCTCTTCTTCCGTTACTGACGGAGCCTGTTGTTCTTCTGCGGACAAAGCTTTCGTTTCATCTTCCTTCTGTTCCGTCGAAACTGACGAAACCTGATGTTCTTCTGTAGATACAGTTTTTGTTTCTTTGTCTTCATTTTCAATGATTGGTAAGACTTGCTGTTCGTCTACTAATGAAGTCTTTGCTTCTGCTTTTTCTTCCTGAGTTGCTGATAGAGTTTGTTGCTCATCGATAGTTGAAGCTTTTGTTTCTTCTTTCTTCTTTTCTTCTGTCACTGCTGAAGCTTGTTGTTCATCTGTGGCTAAAGTTTTAGCTTCATCTTCCTTGTGTTCTATTGAAATTGATGGAACCTGATGTTCTTCCGTAGATACATCTTTTGTTTCTTTGTCTTCTTTTTCAGTGATTGGTGAAATTTGCTGTTCTTCTACTAAAAGAGCTTTTGCTTCTTGTTTTTCTTCTTGAGTAGTCAGTAAAGTTTGTTGTTCATCGGTAGATAAAGTTTTCGTTTCCTCTCGCTTCTCTTCTTCCGTTATTGATGGAGCTTGTTGTTCCTCTGTGGATACAGCTTTTCCTTCATCTTCTTTCTTTTCTGTCGATATTGACAAAAGCTGATGTTCTTCTGTCGATACTGTTTTTATTTCTTCGTCTTGTTTTTCAGTGATTGGTGAGACTTGTTGTTCGTCTACCAGTAAAGTTTTTGGTTCTTCTTTTTCTTTCTGAGTTATCGATGGAATTTGATGGTCATCAGCAGATAGAGTTTTGGTTTCTTCTTGCTTCTGTTCTGCTGTTATTGATGATGCCTGATGTTCTTCTACAGATGCAGCTTTTGTTTCTTGGTCTTCTTTTTCAGTGATTGGCTGGACTTGTTGTTCATATACTAATGAAGTTCTCGCTTCTTGTTTCTCTTCTTGAATTGCCAATAGAATTTGATGATCATCAGTTGATATAGTTTTCGTTTCGTCTCGCTTCTCTTCTTCTGTTACTAATAGAGCTGGTTGTTCGTCTGTGGATACAGCTTTTCCTTCATCTTCTTTCTTTTCTGTCGATATTGACAAAAGCTGATGTTCTTCTGTCGATACTGTTTTTATTTCTTCGTCTTGTTTTTCAGTGATTGGTAGGACTTGCTGTTCATCTACTGATAAAGTTTTCGCTTCTTCTTTTTCTTTCTGAATTATCGATGGAATTTGATGGTCATCAGCGGATAGAGTTTTGGTTTCTTCTTGCTTCTTTTCTTCCGTTAGTAATAGAGTTGGTTGTTCCTCTGTGGATAAAGTTTTTGCTTGATCTTCTTTCTGTTCCATCAAAACTGATGAAGCTTGATATTCTTCTGTAGATGCAACTTTTGTTTCTTCATCTTGTTTTTCAGTGATTGGTGGAACTTGTTGTTCATCCACTAACAAAGTTTTTGTTTCTTCTTTTTCTTCTGTAATAGTAGATGATGAGGTTTGAGTATCAGATGGTGAAGCTATTTCTTTATCAATATCCGATATAACAGTAATAATTTTATCATATGAGTCTCGACGAATGAGATGACTTGGCTTTGTTTGTTCTGTTGTACTAACTACAGTCGTTGTAGTTGTTGTTTGTTCCAATGGTTGAATTTTAGTACGGCTAGTTGGTGAAATGAGTGAGCTGTCGGAAGAAAGGTCATAGTCAAGTACACTTTTTCCTGGACTCAAACTGCTCACAGTAGAACTCATTGGTGAAACACTAGCAAGAACTTCTGAGATTTGATTGATTAATGAATCGTATTTGTTAAGAGTACTTTCAAGAATTCGTATAGGTTCGGAAGAAACATCTGTTAATTCTTCCATATGTAAAGGTTCAGGTTCAATATTAAGTTCTTCACGAGTGATAGGAGATGGAGGTGGGGGATGAATAATTGGCGATAGTTGTTCGATTCTTGATGATCGAGTATCTTCGTCTTGTTGAAATGAAAATGTTTCAGGATGATCGATTTGTGTTTCCATTTTCGTAGTTGATCGGAATAGAGGTTCCCTAAGACTACTTTGATTAATGTTATAGCTGGAAAATAATGAAGGAGATTGAAATGGTACTTGAGGTTTGTATGCTGATTGTGTCGATGATGATGATGTTGATAAAGATGTTGTGTAGGTATTTGATGGTGGATAAGAGTCGAAAGAATAAGGTGGCATAGGTCTATATAGATTTCCATATGATGTTTCAGATCGAGAAACAATTGGTACTGTGGATAAGATAGGTTGAAAACGAGGTTGAATAGTTGTATAAGATCGTCGACTATCAGCACTTGGAGTTGGAGTAGTTGTAACAGTTGACATCGGAGTACGAAGTAAAGTTGAATAACTAGAAGTAAATGTTTGAGATTGAGGTGAGGAATATTGAGTACTTGAAAATGGTTCATATGGAGTCGATCTTTCTGAAATAAGACTTGATGAATAAGTCGAACTTTGACTAGACGAAGATGGTGCAGGTTTATCGAATGATTTCAATGGTTGAATATTATTAATATTGATAAAACGAGTTTGACTCGTTTTTATAGAATCGTCTTTAGTTAAAGGTGGATTAATTGGTTTGAGTGGAATTGGTGCAACATTAGCAAATACAGCAGTACTTAATCGATTTACATGTCTAGTTGGAATTGGTTTCGGAGCAAAGGCAGATAGATATGCATCTGTATAATCAGAACTAGGTGGTGTAATAGATTTACGTTGCTTTTGTCCTCGCATTTCACCAGTACCAAAATATGTTACTGTCTTTACTTTTCGATTGCTAATATCATTTCCACTCCATTGATAAGCACCCGAACGATCGTTAACAGGTACCCATTGAACATTTAAGCTAATCATTGCTGGCCGGCGTCTATAACCACTGTATACCTGATCAAAAATTGTCGATTCTGTTCCGGTTGAGGATGAAATCTGTGACGGTACAGATGGTACCAATGGTAAAACATTGCTGCCATAACCTGTAAATCGAATATTAAAAAAACAATGAATTATTCTTTGTTTTTTTTTGTCTTTTTCTTTCCTCGTCTTGCATAAAATCATGCATTCAATCATTGATCAATCAATCATTCCATCATGCTTTGTGTGCTATGTGTCAGCTGAAACTACGTGTATTAAGAAAGAAAAAAACTATAGCTAATTCAAGAATAAAATAATTAATGAGCAAACTGAACTAGAAGCCATGTAAGAAATCTAATATAGAGATTAAAAAGAATGTATCACTGAATGACAACATCTAAAGTCTGTTCAATAGATATGTTTGTTTGTTTTTATTTTTGTTAAGTTATGCATCAAGTGCTTTAAGTCGTAAAGCCAATGCGCCTTCTGGTTCAAGTGTAAACCAATCATCAATTAAATTTCCATCATCAATATTGTAGTTAGCTAATGTAATTAATGCTTGACCCATAAAAACTTTTTCTGTCGAAAAAAGTGAACGATCATTTTTAACAGCAATATCTAATGTTTTTAATTTTGCTTCTTCATGTGTAATATCATATTCAAATGTTTCATCAAAAACAGGTGCTAATGTATCTTTCATAATTTTTGTACGTCGTTTGGTTCTTTTTCGTTTATCAGGTAATAGTAATAAACGTACATACGGATCTGAAAGGCTATTCTTATCCGTATTAATTAAATCACGTGCTTCATATATACGAACAATAAGTTTACCACGTGAACGATCATAACGAAAACCACAACGAATTTGACCATAACCTTCATCTTTTCGTGCTGCTTGTAAACGATCGCGTCGTTCGTTTGGATCTTCTAATGATGAATCATCACCTTCAGTACCTGTACCTCGACCACCCGAACCTCGATCAGTAGATTCACCTTGATCTCGAAGCCGTTTGACAGTACTACCACCACTTCGACTAGTTTCTTCCCGAATTGTTGGAGGATAACGATCACTATTACCACGAATATTGTCAGCAGATGTTGATGATGGCGGTGTTGAATGACGTTCATATGATGAACTTGTTCCTGCACCAGAACGATAAAATTCATCTTGAGGACGATTATTACCACCTAAATCACCACCTGATGATGTATTTTCACGACCACGACGATTTCCACTTGTATCTCGCTCAGTTGATGATCGGTCTTCTGATTCTATAAGTATTATGATATTCTTTGATTTTTATTAAATTATAAAACTAAGACGAACACCGGATGACGACGATGACGACGACAACAACAACGACGATGATGACGTGAAAAATATCGATTTGAATCTTATTAATTAACAATATCTTCCGTTCGGTTCTCTCTCTCTCGGAAAAATATTTATCTTTTTATTATTACATTTTCATATATCTCATTTTCTAGTTCATTGGTTCAATGCAAATTTCTTGTTATGCAGAGATGACCGAAAGAATAATATTTTTTTGACAACATGCTTAAACTTAATTTTTTTGTATTTTTTCTTTCAAACACCCATTATTTATTTGTAAACTAGCTAAATACAATATAAAATACGCATACAATCACGACGCTAAACAGGCAATATAAGGCAAGAGGAGAAGCGGTGCAAACATGCAAATCTCTGCTCCTTCAAAAGAAAAATATGATAATAAAAAAAACAAAGGAAAAAAAACAAAAAATTTTCTTTGCTCTTCTTCATTTTCCTATATAAATAAAAGAAGCAGAAGAAGAAAAAAATTTCTCGTTTTTTTTCGGAAATGAATAAAACGAGTTGCTATTATTAATCAAATGGATTTTTGTCGTATTTCCTTTCCTACTCGTTTTGTTTTCCATACAGAGAAAAAGAAAAGGAACTCTAACGAAGGAAAAAAAATTGGTTAATGTACACATTGCTAACAGAAAAAAAAGAAACGAAACGAAACAATTGACTAGTAGTATAAACTATGTTCATGATGTTTGTATTAATTAAATATTTGATGATTAATACATTCATTCATTCATTGCCAATCGAACCTAGAAAAATAAATCATACGATGGATGGTTTGATGAATGATTCCGTTTAGAATTGTTATTTACGGTCGATTGAAAAAAAAACTAAATGAATCTCTTATCTTTATAGGCAAAAAAAAGAAAATAACATTTAAACATTTTATATATATAATCATTACTCTTTTGCTTTGTCAAAATTTGACATTCGATCGTTATCGATATGAATTTTACTTTTTTAACATTTCATTATTTTTATTTGAAGGATCGTGCAAGAGAAAAATTAAGCAAGGATAAATATTGATAACCAACATGCAACGTGTGCATTAACACAACGAGTAACATAACAGGGGTGCATAGTGTGGTTGGGTGTATGTATCATCACTTACCTTGACCGCCACTTGTTGTACGATAAGAACGTGAATGAGAATATGATGTTACACCAGCACCATTGCCACCACCAGCACCGCCACCACTTGATGAACTAAATCCACCACTAGTTCCACCAGCAGCAGCGAAATCTATTCGAGCTTGGTCTTCAACATTTGCAACTATTTGTTTTAAACCTTGTCTAGAAAATGTTCAAATTCTTGTGAGAATTTTTCCGTATTAATATTGGTTTTTTCATAATACCTGTTTTCTTCTCCTTCGAGTAATTTTCTGTAAATTGCAATTTCAGCATCAAGAGATGATTTTGTTGTAACAAGTTCATCATAATCACGTCCTAATTCTTCAAGACGAGCTCGTAATTCTTGTATTTCTCGATCACGTTCACTGGCTGCTTGAATACCTTCACGTCGTTCAATTTGTACGAGCTCTTCTAATTCATGAATACGATTTTCTAATTCTCCATTCTAAACAAAAACCAAAAAACAAAATTATTTATATTTTTCTTCTATTAAATAATTACTCTTTGTCTCATAGCAGTAATATCTTTTCTTGAATCGGTAACTAATGTTCGTAATTTTTTAACTTCTTCTTTCTCACGAATATTTTCAGGTGCTTCAATAGCACGACGAGATTGAATTTCTTGTACCTAATCAAAAAGAACATCATATAAATATATACATATATATACGTATTAATTAGTTAAAAAGATAAAATATCTTACTGCTTGTGTAACTTTTAAACGATACCATGATTCAAGTTCATTACGTTGTTGATTATTAAGTTGTTCATATTCTTCTCGTATATCTCGTATAGCATTTGATAATTCATGTTTAAAAAAATTAGCTGGATCTAATGCTGTACCAACAAGATTAGCTTGTTTTAATTCTTCAATTTCTTGTGCATGAATTTGTTTTAAAAAATTAATTTCTTCTTCAAGACTTTGTTTTTCATTTTCAAGTTGTACACGTGCTATTGTTTCATGATCTAAATCTTGTGTTACACGTTGAATATCTAAGATGAGCTTTTGTGATTCTGCACGATAACGTTTTTGCTCATCTTCTAAATCGGCTAAACAACAAAAAAACAAAATATATTTTTCAATAAAATATTAAAAGATTTAAAGAAAAAGAACAAAAAGAATTTTGTTTCTTACCTAAACGACGTCGAAACAGATTAAGATCAGCTTCATTGTCGGCCAATTGTTTTTGTAATGCTTCTATTTTCTGATGATCGGAGTCCCTTCCAGCTAATAATGTTTCATATCTAGAAAAAAACAAAGATTATTTTAATACGATTAAAAAAACAAAGCAAAACAAGGATTTTGATATACTTGTCTTTAAATTTTAATGTTTCTTCTTCAGCACGTTTAGCTCGAAGTTCAGCGGCAGCACGATCTTTTGCTGTATCATCAATAATATGACGAGCTTCACGTATTTCAACTTCATACATTTCTTTAACTTTACTTGTTTGTGTACCCCATTTTCCACTTCAAAATAAAAACAACAATTTTATTTATTTGAATGAATTCGAAAGTTGGAACACTTACCGTAGATGTTCAAGTTCAAGTAGAAGTTTTTTATTTTGTGCTTCCAAATATCGTACACGTTCAATATATGAAGCGAAACGATCATTTAGATGACCTAATTCTCGTTTTTCGCGTTCACGATTTTCTCTGTAAAAAAAGAAAAGAAAAACGATAGAAAACAATTCATTCATATACTCATGAGAATAAGATAAATTATAATTATGATTATTTCTTTTTTCAATTAGAAAATCACCTTTGTCATCTCACAAGAAACAAGTTTAAACTTCGTACATCTATTTATATATATATATGTCCGAAGTTTAAACTTCGTACATCTATTTATATATATATATGTCATTTTATTTCATAAAAAAATCTCTTATTATGACTTTTTACGATAAATAACATATTTTTCTATTTACGTCCTTCAGACATTATTACCAAAGATATTCCGATTATGACAAATGACATATGTTGATAGATATCTTTCATGGCAATGTTTAGAAAAACTTAATTAGAATAGTTTAGTAAGTGTTCTAGAAACTTAAATTTTATGCAAAATTCTAAACAATTTCTTGACGAAAAATCTTGTCTCTGTTTTTTTTTTGTTTATTGATTCTTGCAAAAAATAAATATTGTCAGTACTCAGACAACATTTTGGACACATACATATCAATGTCGGCAACATCACACACTATCCCTAACATATGGTGTCATGCACAGTTGGGCTTTCTTTTCATACTATCCAGCATCGTATTACACCCTCATAAGAAGAAGGCGGGTAACATTACTATTACTACTACTACTACTACGCATACCATTCAGCAATCAAACTAGTTGATCAGAGAACAAACACACACACATATTTCTGATTAATGGATTGATTTATGTAATACTATGATAGATCTTAAACAGTGCAGAAATGAAATATTGTGTTTTTTTGTTTGTTTTTTTTACTTACTGAATTGCCACAACAGCAGCTGATTTACCACCTGGCTTGAGTGGAACACCAGAACCA